ACGGCGGCCGAGCCCGAGCGCGCGGGCCGCGGCTGCAGCCCTGCGGGGCAGCTCGGCCCAGACGGCGTACACCTGCGGCCGGGCGGGGCCTCCGCCCTGCCCTCCCTTCCCTCTCAGCTACCCCACCACTGTGCTGACTAAAGAACGGCCGGAGCCAGCCAGGCCAGCCAGGGCTGAGGCGGCGCGCGGTCGCCAAGTTGTTACGAGGAGAACGAAACCCGAGAAACTTTCCCACTTGGTTCCCCGGGTGCGAATATGCAGGAAAACGGCCTCCAGGGCCCAACTCTTGACAAATGAGGCAACGGGCGGGGGCACAAGCGCCAGCAGGCCCCGCGTCTCATTAACCTCCCCAGAGGGAAACAAGGCCCTGGGGCGCTATCTCTTTGGAGCGGTCCAACCCCGGTGTCAATCAGCTCCTTCCGGCGTTACGATTGGCCGGCAGGCTAACTCGGCTTCTCCGGTTCCCACCTCTTAGGTGCTTGGGGTTTACTTCCCCAAAGTACACGGGCCCCACCTTGTGGATCAACCGCCCCTGTACGGACAACTCATCTCCGCCCAACGGAAGGTACTTTAACCAATAAAAGCAGCTCCGTGCAGTGACTGGCTCGTACCGGTATCTGTCAAGGCACTGCCCAGCCTCCTTTCCAAGATACTTTGCGGTTATTGGTGATTCCTAATTCCAATCCGTTACTAGGGAAGCGAGATCCTCGGAGTCTCATAGGTACGAGTCAAAGTCAATCAAGAACCACGCCTTTATCCTGAGTCAATACCCAATTGTTGTCCGAGAAGCTAAGAAGATGCAGTTAGGATTGGTCATGCGCTCACCCGGCCTGGCCACATCAAGTTAGGCTGAGTCGCGGTTATATACGCCGGCGGCGGAGCACGCGTGTGTGCGGACGCGCTTGCGTGAGGGGTTTCTGTCACCTTCCGTGCCGTGCAGCAGAGCTTGTTTCACGCCCGCTCAGCCGCGCAGGTACGCCGGGACATGGGCGGGGCGGGCGGCCGGTGGAGCCGGAGGAGGTAGCGCGGTCGTGAGACGAGTCGGAGCGGCGCGAGCCGCGTCCCCCCACCCCACTCCTACCCCACCCCCACCTCAACGGCCGCCGCCGCGCGCGACGGGCACGCGGCGCCCTCCCTCCGCGGCGCGTGACCGAGTTCGCCGTGTACGCGCGCCGCGTCCAACGGCCACGCGGGCGGGGGAAGCGAGCGCGGCCGGCTCCTTCAGCCTTCGGCCGTGCGCTCTGTCGCAGCCTGGGCCGGGTTGAGGGGCGGCTTTGCCGGGCGATCGGGGCCGTGTCGCGCCGCGGCCTACGAAGCGGGAGCGCCGCTCCCGGTTTCCGCGGCGCCTTGAGGGAGCGGCGGGCGCGGGCGCGAGGATGGCCCCGGCCAGGCGGGCTGCGGCCGCGTCTGCCCTCCCAGCGCGGAGACGCCGTGAGCGGCAGGGCCGCGGACGCTGATGGCCAGGTGCGTGTTTGCGGCGCGCCCGTTTCCGCTCCGGGACGGCGGGGTTGCGCTTGGGGCGGCGACAAAGGGGCAGGCGTGGGCCTGTGGCCGCGCGCGTCCGTGCAGACCCGGGCTGGACGGACGCCGCCCGCTCTGCCGGGAGGGAAGGGCGGGTGCGTGCGAGCGGACGCGAGCTCCTCCTCGGCGGGCCTGCACTTCAGCCCCGGGTGGGAAGTACCCGCGGGGGAAGTCAGGCTCTACTGTTAGAGCGCGGATCTTTAAAAAAGTTTGGGAGATTTTATTTTAATTTTTAGTATTTTATTATGCTTTTTGCGGAACCGGGGATTGAACTCAGGCCGTTGCGCTTGCGAGGCAAGCGCTTATTCTGAGCTGTCTCCTCGGCCCCTAGAGATTTTATTTTTTGCAGGATTGGGGATTGAACCCGAACCTTTGCCCTGCTAGGCTACCTCGCCATATCTTTTTTCCATGTTTTATGTTCTGTTTTTTTGAGGCAGGGTCTCTAGTTCAGACTGATTGTGAACTCCCGTAGCCCAGGGTGGCCCCCAAATGGCCACAAAACTATCCTCCTCGGCCTCCTTAGGGCTGGGATTGTCAGACATGCTATGCTACGTCCAACTAGCCCTATTTGAAGTTCTGGCTGCCTCACTAAATTGCCCTGGCTGTGTTCAAATTTGGGATTCTTCTACCCCAGCGGGTCCGCCCTCCACCCAGTGATCGGATAAAGGCGTGGATCATCAGGTCTGGTGCTCGCTTCGATTTTCTTTTTGAGGCAGGATCAAGCTGCGTGGGTTCAGGCCGGCCTGCCTGCCTCGATTTCTCAGCAATCCTGCTTCAACCACCCATTGCTGGGATTACAGGTGTGCGAAACCACACCCGGCCTGTTTTTTTAAATCAGAACAGACTTTTGAGGAAATATCTTTGAGAAGATTAAAATGAGGCCCAAAACACAGTTTTGTATCTCATCAGAGTCTGGGTTAAATTTTGACATTGGAATGGAAATGATAGTTTTTCTGTACAGTACACTTAGGCAGCTGGGGGTCTTCTGTGGGTTAGCTTTTTGTACAAATTCCCTTCACTTTTTTAGCTTGTTCCTGTGTGTGAAGAAAGACAGCGTCCTTCCAAAAGGACTTAAATTAGTTTTCTTGTACAAGATATCATATTTCAGGTAATAGTATTTTATTTTGTTTATTTATTTTGGAACCAGGGATTGAATTTAGGCCCTTGCACTTGCCAGGCAAGTGCTTATTCTACTGAGCCATCTCCCTGGCCCCTTTTGTTTTTTTGAGACAGGCTGTGCAGTCCAGGGTGGTCACTGTGATACCTGAGCATGGTGCCACACAGCTGTAATCCCAGCAGTGGGGAGGCTGAGGCAGGAGGATTGCCTTAAGTTAGAAGCTAGCTTGGGCTATACAATGAGCTTCAGGAGAGCTGGAACTATGTAGTCTCAAAACAAAACAGAACAAAACACTGATGACCTACATGTAAACTTATCTAGTTTGTGTTATTACTGTACCAGAAAGCATACATCCAGGTTAGATTACCTTCCATGTTAACCGAGGGAAAAGTTTTGTTTTTTTTATTTTTATTTATTTTTTTATTTTATTTTATTTTGGTGGAACCAGGGATTGAACTCAGGCCCTTGGGCTTGCCAGTGAAGCGCTTATTCCACTGAGCCATCTCCCCGGCCCCCAGTTTTGTTATTATTACTTTCAAATACTAAAAGGTAACACTATTTTGTTTTTTTTTTTAAATTTTATTTATTTGTGTGTGTGTGTGTGTGTGTGTGTGTGTGTGTAGCCAGCTCAGCCCACCAGGGGGCGGTGCTGGCTGGCATGTGGTGCTGGGGGATTGAACCGTGGTCCCCGTGCTTTGCCAAGCTTGTTCTAAGTAGGTGCTTTAGACCACTGAGCCATCTCACCAGCCCCGGTAACACTATTTTGGCCTGGGGCATAGTTCTCCTTTGGGTTGCAATATGAACATTGGGATTATGTCCCAAATTAGTACCTGAACCAAATGATCACTTCCTTACACATCCATTTGTCAAGAACAAATCTATTGAATCAGATTGGGATAGTAAAACTTGGGGTCTCTACTACCTAACCAGGTTACCTGTGTTGGCTGTCATGCCTTTTGGACCGAGGTAACAGGAGTTTTCTACCTCATACCCAGTTTACTGTTTTCACTTGATACTTGACGAACATTAGGAGACAACTGATAATGTTTATTCTTGGCCTGCCTTGTCTTTGTTTTGCAGAACTGGGGATTGAACTCAGGCCCTTGTGCTTGCCAGGGAAGCGCTTATTCTATGAGCTATCTCCCCGGCCCCATCTACTTTTTTTCTAATTTTTTATGTATTATTTGGTACAGGCTCTCGCCCTGCAGTCAGGCTGGTAATGTTTCTCCTGTCTCAGCCTCAGGACTGGGATTACAGGTGTGCGCCATCGCAGCTTGCTCCGGGCCAGCATGGCATCCAGTACCAGCCATCAAACCTGTGCTTGCCCGACAGGCGTTTAGACCCCCGGGCTGTCTCCCCAGTCTTTGCGTTATATTTTTGTTAAACTTGTTTTAGTACTTTGGGTAAAAATTAAAAGGTAAATGTAAGTATTACTTTTTTTTTGGTATCAGGGACTGAACTCAGGATCTTGTGCTTGCCAGGCAGGCAGTTAAGCTGCTGAGCCATCTACCTGGTCCTTTTATTGTTTATTTATTTTTGTGTGGTGGGGGAGGGTTACTGGGGATCAAACTCAGGACCTTGCCAGGCAGTGCTTACGCCGCTGAGCTATTCCCCCTACCTTTTTTTTTTTTTTTTTGCAGAACCGGGGATTGAACTCAGGACCTTGCTCTTACCAGGGAAGCGCTTATTCTACTGAGCTGTCTCCCCGGCCCCTCCCCCGTTTTTTATTTATTTTTTATTTTTGTCGGAAACAGGGATTGAACTTGGGCCCTTGCGCTTGCCAGGCAAGCGCTTATTCTATTGAGCCATCTCCCTGGCCCTGAGGCCAATGTTAAAAGATGCAGTTTAACATAAAGCCTAACTCACTAAAATCAAATTTTGCTTTTATAAGTCAATTTTGTGAAACTTCCTATTGTAGTCTTTCACCATTCTTGTATATATTTTTTTAAAAGGTCATGTTCATTTAATTGCATGTGTTTTTCCATTGCCTTAAAGCTTCTGACTTTTCAAAGGGGGTAATTGTAAAAGTAGGTAGATTTGAAAAAAGAACCAGAGCTTCCCCCACTCCTCCAGTCAGTTGTCACCTGCTAGTGGAAAAACCTATACTGTCCTTCCAAACTCCACAGTTAAATTTAGATTCAGCAACTGGAGTCCCTTTTGCAGTAGTGATCCCTCTGGCAGCTAACATGGGTTTTTATTTTTATATTTCAAAAATCAGTTTTCTAATTACTTTTTTTTTTTGCTCGGAACCGGGGATTGAACTCAGGCCCTTGTGCTTGCCAGGCAAGTGCTTATTCTACTGAGCCATCTCCCCGGCCCCTCTAATTACTTTTTGTTCGTAGACAGTATCCTTTATTTGGGAAGATTTGAGTTGCAAGCTAGGCTAGATAGAGGTTTGAAAGTTAGAAAGGACACTGAAAAGTTTTTTTTTTTTTTTTTTTGTATGTGTGTTACTAGGAGGTCAGGGAGTTGGCTCAGTGATATAAGTACCTGCCTGGCAAGCACAAGATCCTGTTTTTTGTATGTGTGTTACAAAACAACAAAAAAAAAGGGGCCAGGGAGATTGCTCAGTAGAATAAGCACTTGCCTGTCAAGCACAAGGGTCTGAGTTCAATCCCTGGTTCTGGGGAAAAAAAACCCAAAAAACAACAGCTGGGTGTGGTGGGGCACACCTGCAATCCTAGCAGTTGGGAGTCGAGTCAGGAGGATCTCAATGAATTAATAGGATAGCTTGGCTTGCATAGTGAGACCCTGTCTCAAATTTTTTTTGTATTTTATTTTGGTTACAGGCTTTGACCTAGGGAAATCTTTGTAACAGTGCTTTTTAGCATATCTTTTGTATTTTAGATATTTAGTAAGTGAAAATTAAAGGTGATTCAGAGAAATCCTCTTTGGATACATCTCCTTTCTAGAGATACAGTTTCTTTTTTTTTCCTTTTCCTTGAGGCAGTGTATCAGTATGTAGTTCAGGCTGACCTTGAGTTCACCAGCAATCCAGGGGCAATGACAAGTCTCTTGACTCAGCCTCCCCAGTGCTAAGGATTGCACCACAGCCAGCCCTTGTTTTGGATTTTTTTTTTTTAGTCATTTTGAGACTGGCTTATGCTTTGCAGTTTAGGCTGGCCTTTGGTTCACTTTGTAGCCCAGGGTGGTCTCAAAATTGTGACATTCCTCCTGCCTCAGCCTTCTGAGTGCTAGCCTAACAGGCATGCACCACCACCACACCTAGGGGACTGTTCGGGTATTTGCGATAAGATCTTGTTTTCTAGCCCAAACTGGCCCTGAACCTTGATCTTCCTGCCTCATAATGCTGGAATTGCTATAGGTAGATGAGT